AGCGGGGGCCCACGGCCGGTCGTTGTAGAGGGCAGCACAGCGATCGCAGTTGGGACCAGCAGTGTTGTGCTGACACACACAGTGCCCATGGACCTGCTGCAAAGACAACACATTACCCCTCCTGGCTGGTGGCTGCTCAGTTCAGAGCTTCATCCTCCTGATGCCTTTCCAGCATGTGTTGCACCCCCATTCCCAGCACAGTGATGAAACTCCAGCCTCCAGCCAGGGCTGCTGCAGCATCAGGGACAGTTGGGACCAGCAGTGTTGTGCTGACACACACAGTGCCCATGGACCTGCTGCAAAGACAACACATTACCCCTCCTGGCTGGTGGCTGCTCAGTTCAGAGCTTCATCCTCCTGATGCCTTTCCAGCATGTGTTGCACCCCCATTCCCAGCACAGTGATGAAACTCCAGCCTCCAGCCAGGGCTGCTGCAGCATCAGGGACAGGCTGCTCCTCGCTTGCAGCCACAGGGCAATTCCTACCACCTTACACCTTCCTGAGGGACAACCATGCTCAAGGCAAAGTGCACAAGCATAAATTAGGTACAAGAAAACCCTACAACAGCTAACAGCCTGCACTGGCAAATCCTCCTGAGCATGAAGGAGCCTCCTGAAACCTTCTGCATGTCCTGCATGACCTCCCACAGCCCCCGAGCCCAGTGCTCACCGTGGTGCGCTGGTCTCCTGCAGAGGCGCAGCGGTCAGCGTGTCCGTGGCAGAAGCAGCTCCCCAGCACCTGCATCTCAGTCAAGGCATAGAAGGTGCTGGGTGAGTGGTAGCCCTGGCGCGGGATGTGGGGGAGCCCGGTGAGGTTGATGCGCAGGTTTGTGAACTGCCCCAGCTCTGTTGGAGACCAAGGAGAGGTGTGACGGGGCAGAAGGCACCCAGGCACCAGCAGCAGAAGCACACTGCAATTCAGATGGAGGGTGCAGAGCAAGAGATGGAGTCATCAGCAAAGACCTTGGAGGCACTAGGGCAGCAGCCTAACATGCAGCTCGAGGCCTTGCTTGCAGAGGACCTGCTGCCCTGCAGGGTTACCCTCGCTCTGTGCTCTCCATCACATGTAGGAAGAACCATGAGGTGCATCATCCTCCCCTCCCTTTCTCGGACATGAAACAGACTGGTCACTTACTCTCGATGGTCTGGCTGTAAGAGGTAGTGATGGTAGATGCTGGGTCTTGGACACTGAATTTCACCTTAGAAGGAAAAAAAGCATATTTAAAATGCAGGAAACACAAGGTGCTTTCTTCTCATGCTCTGGGGGGGTGTGCTCTGGATCTTCCTCTGCAGAACATCACCTACATGGGGAAATGCCTTGAGACTTGCACAGGATTTTGCTGGACACTAGCAGAGTGTGCCCAGAGAAGCTGTGGCTGCCCCATCCCTGGCAGTGTTGAAGGCTAGGTTGGACACAGGGGCTTGGAACAACCTGCTCTAGTGGAAGGTGTCTCTGCCCGTGGCAGGGGTTGGAGCTGGAGGAGCTTTAAGGTCCCTTCCAACCCAAACCACTCTATGATCCTGTGATTTTGTAGGAAGACCAACATAACACCTCACTTGTCCCAAAGCAGTGAGGGCTTTCCTCCCAGAGGATCAGGAATCCTCCTAAGGACTCCCCTCAGCAGATATAATGCATGTAATGCCACGTGTTTCAGCAGCACTGCACAAGGCCACCCACCCCCAACCCAGTGTCACAGTGGTGGGAACAGGCACGGGTGGGAGTCCCTGCCCAAGCCCCCATGGATCCTACCTTGCCCCCGTGCACAGGGTGCCCCCGCAGCGCCTGGCACCGAGCGTCCTGCCAGCTCTCGGGGGAGCCCCGGGGCACATGAGGGAAGGCGGTGGCACAGTCGGAGGCCAGGTACTGGTACACATGCCAGGTCTGGCCGAAGTCGGTGGAGCGCTCAATCAGCATCGCAGCGGGCAGAGGTGACTGCAGAGACAGGGAAGAAGCACATCTGTAACGTGGCACACTCCAGCCGGCTCCCACCACGGGGCCTGGGGATGCCTCTTCTCCTCCTCCTCTCTCCAGGCTCAGGCCTCTGCAGGCTGCCGGAGCAATCCCCTCCCCTGCAGGTTACCCACAATTTCTAGGTTCCCCTCCACCACCCTTTGGCCAGCCCTGATGCAGCCACAAAGTACACATCTGCATCAAGGAGGTTTTTAGGCAGACATTCAAGAGATGGGGACCCACCACCCCACTCTGCTGTTCCCAAAACACCCAGAGGAACGGCCGGGAAAAAGGAGGGATGGGGACCCTGGTGTGCTTCCTATCAGAAGCCCAAAGGGAGCTCTGCACTGAGATCCATCTTGCAGAGACCTCCCATCATCAGTGACCTCCTGGCAAGCAGAGATGCTGCACACAAACCCTGAAGTGAAGCAGGATGCTGCCGAGCTGGAATGTCTGGTCCAGGTCCAGCTGCAACGAGACGCACTCGATGCCTGCAGGCACAGAGAGGCAGCTTCAGAGGTGCAGACTGTGGACTTGAGGAACAGAAACCGCTTCGCTTCCTGAGCCAAACCACTTATTTCCTTCTTTCCCTCCCATCTATTGAATCCAACACCTCCTCCCCTCATGGCATTTACTGCTGGGGCCTTGGAGCTGTGTTGTCCTGTGGTACTCACCATTCTGGGACTGCCACCAGCGCGAGTGCCCGGCCGAGGACAGGACGTTCTCCACACGGTGGCCGTTGTAGGCGTGCGGCAGCCCGCGAGTCGCACCGGCAGCACCTCATGCTCCACTGGAAGAGAAAGGAAGAGTGGAAACGACTGTCCTGGTGTGGCCAGAGGGAGAGACCATGCTGCAGACCTCTGGGGTGAGGAGCCCAAGTGCAGCATAGGGTCCTGAGGAACAAACAGCATCCCTGAAGCTGGGTTCATTAGAGACCTGAAGAACCGCAATCCGTAAGGCTAATGATACCCGGAACTCAAGTGGTCCCATTCATGCCCTTTTAGGAAACATAAGTCCTGAAAACCAAAATGCTTTCAACTAAAACCCATTTCTGGCAAACCATCAAAATGACTTTAAGCAAACCCCCTGTTTTCCACAATGACACCACTTGATAGAAAGCCCTTTGCAGCTTTCCAGGACCAGTCTGCCTTTTCCACACAGCCGCTGGAGGCTGTTTGGGTGAACTGAAAGGCCACTCTTGGGGTGATGCTCAGCCTCCCTGAGCTCTCCCCCAGGAGCACAGCGAGAGCAAACAGCTCATGGGTGAGAAGTCAGTGGGTGGGAAGTCAAGTGGCTCAAAGTTCAGCCCTTCACTTGAGCAAGTAAATCAAGGAGCAAACAGAGATGCAGCACAGGGACAGGAGAAAAGCCAGAGTCCCTGAGGAGCAAACAAATACCCACATTTTACTAGCCAAGCAACGCTCCGTGCAGCCACTACCACAGGGCTGCCGGGTGTGTGCAGCACATGGACAGGCTCAGAAATGTTTAGAAAGTAACAGGAAAGACATTGAGCAAGAGACAGGGAGCAGGGGAGGTCCAGACACTGAGCAACGGGAGAGGTAGCACAAGGGTGGGCAGCAGGATAGGTGAGGACCACTGAGAATTGGGGGGAGACACCCAGGTGGGGCAATGGTGGGGAAGGGCACGTCCCAGAGGGGTGTTAAAATACTGGGTGATGGCAGAGCCAGCAGCAGCATCCAGTGGGAACACAGGGAGGCCCCTGTCCAAAGTGCTCAGTACTGCATGGAATAGAGCAAAGCCACCGGGCTGTAAAGGCCACCAGGAGGGAAAACACGGTACCCAAGGCATGAGATGAAGTACTTGGTATCTCCAGCCTGGTGAAATGGAGAGGAAGAGACAGGACAAGGGGAATGGCTTTAACCTGCCAGAGGGGAGACTGAGATGAGCTCTTAGACAGAAGCTCTTCCCTGTGAGGGGGCTGAGGCGCTGGCACAGGGTGCCCAGAGAAGCTGTGGCTGCCCCATCCCTGGCAGTGTTCAAGGCCAGGTTGGACACAGGGGCTTGGAGCAACCTGCTCTAGTGGAATGTGTCCCTGCCCGTGGCAGGGGGTTGGAACCGGAGGAGCTTTAAGGTCCCTTCCAACTCAAACTGGTCTGGGATTCTGTGATCCCACTCTCTGAAAGGGTTCCCGGGGCTGTGCGCCGAGGCAAGCAGAGCCATACGAGCTATGGGATAATGCTGTCCTGAAAGCAACATGATGTGAAACATTCCAACTAGAAACCGAAGTTGTTGGTGGCCTGAGCAGTAAAGTGACCTCCCAAAAGGAGCACTGGTACATGAGCTTCACATCAACACGTGTCAAAGCCTGAGAAATTAGGAATGATTGGGAATAGTGTTTGCCAGAGGAGCAGGATGGCTCCGAAAGGTCGTCCTGGGAGGAAAGTGGGTTTGGAGGGGAGGAGAGAAGCACATGGGGTGCAAGGCACATCTGACACTAGGAAGGCAATGGGACACCCTGCTTCGAGGGCTAGCAGCTGCTGGGGTGGCATAAGGTGACACCAGAGGAACAGAACACGTTTGAGACCCCAGTGATGAGATCAGCTTTCGGTGGCCAAGCAGCAACATCTGGTGACAAAAAGTACTTTATATCCAGCTCTGTGCTAAAATCTCCCCATCTGATACTTAAAACAAATGAGCCAATTCCAACCCAAACCCTAAACACAACCCCCCCTGCCTCCACACGTGCTGGGGTAAGAAGAAATCTGTGCTTGGGAGAGGCTGCTTGGCCAGAGGTCCACAGTGGCACAAAGATCTCTGGTTTCCCCTTTAAAAGATGAATTATGGGTCACACATATTGCCTTACTCCTGATATAGGCACACCTAAGCCAGCCGGGTCTCTTATTTCTACAAAAATGGACTTGGCCTCACAAAAACTGCCTTTTTTATATAAAACCAAAGAAAAATTCATGAAGAATTTTGTCCAGAATCACCTTTTTGCTCGCTCTCACACAAAACCACACAAGGAGCAGGTTGGCCTTGACCAGAAAGCACCGACTGGTACCACAGTGGCCAGCACCCAGCAAGGCAGCTGGGCAGCAGTGAGATGTGAGCTCAGACCATGGGCTGCTTTTGGTTCCTAACAAAGCCCAGGCCTGATTCTACTCTGTCCCAGACCTGAGAACCTTTAGCAGTTGGACTGATAATGGAGGAGAAATCCTCACTTTATACTGATCTGTTTCCATAATATTTTCCAAAGTCTTTATGTTCTCTGTCTATCAATATTGCAGAACAGGAGTTGGCTAACTGCAGTATTTATAACAATATTGCAGAGTAAGCAAGCAGAACTCATTTTGGATACTGGCTACTAGCAGCAAAGTGTCAGGAAGCTACAGGAATTACTCACAGAGAACAATTCCCAACAATCATTAAACTTCACAAAGACTTGGGGGGGGGGGGGACAGGTAATTCCAAG